CACACACACACACATGCCTACTTGAATTTCAACATATCTGATAGGCCTAGCCGTGTACAGACCCTGACAAGATACATGCATTCATATTTCCTCTTGCTTCCTATGGAGCTCCTAATCACCCAGTCAGTCGGAGGGACTCCTTGGGCCGGGGATGACCCCGTTAGCACAGATTAAACGCAACCATCCGTGCCTCGAGTGGGATTCGAACCCACGACTCCAGTGTTTGAGCAGACGAAGACAGTTCGTGCCGTGACCGGTATGGCGAGATTAATAACCAAATAAGCAACATAAACCACTGGAACTGCTTAGAAAAGTCTGGAACAGACTAAGAAAGAACGGCTTGAAACCCTACAAACAAACACTCACCGAGAAAACGTTGAAGAGAGAAAGTTGTGTCAGTATGATAAATCAAGGACAGGTTCGGCGTCCAACACATGCCACAAGTACGTAACAATTTACCGTGATAATATTAAAGTTTTAATTATAACGAAGAGGCTCCTTAGCATCAGAATCTTTAAGAACTTAAATTTAAACAAGTACAAGTTGCACTAGAACAGCTTCAGCTACATCACAATTCTCACGAAAGTTTTGCCAAATGATTTATCTTATGTATACACATGGGGCAAGCTTGCAGACATTGAAGTGAAACAAAAGTGAAGCTATCCCTGTAACAGGCCGTGGAGGCCCATAGGGTTGTGAGACGTCGAGGTTCCCACATTGTCTAGACAGTCGGCTTACAGATGCCTGTGAATTTGTCAGTCTTACGCACCGGCAAGCGTAAGGATTAGGTCAATTGGAAATTCCAACGATATCGGGAATCGAATCCCTGCAGCCGTACTAAGGCCCTGAAGTCAGCTCAGACCCTAACAGAAAAGAGTACCAGGAATCTTCCTTGGGGGGTAAATGGCGGCCGGCGCTTAAGGCTGACAACATCAACACCGTCTGTGAGCCGAGTGCCTAGAACATGTGGGAGCCTCGACGTCTCACAACCCTATGGGCCTCCAGGCCTGTTACAGGGATAGCTTTACCTTCTTATTATGCAAGTAACGGATAGGCCTACGTCTTGCTCGGTCCTTGTAAGAAAGACAGGATGGGCAGTGCGAGTAGAAAAGAAGGCGCGATAGTTCGGTATGTATAGTGACTGTGTGTGTCTAGTTCAGCGTTACTTTTGCTCTTTCCCTGAGGATAAAGCGACCCAAGCCTGAAGGTAAGTACTCACCCCCATATAGAGTCGAGACGAGCAGTGCGTGTATCTTCACTTCCTCTCACTGAGTGGTGCTTGGGAACAGAGGTAATTTTACAAGGTCATTGCTAATGAAGACTGTAAGAAATTTGCATGTTAAAGATTATTTGAATTGTCTGAAACCTTTCTGATCTCATTTCGCATGTACAAACACAAGAAAAAATATGCAGATATTCTATGGTCATATCTGACAATGTGGAACAGGCGCCTCCTTGAGAAGCTGTTGGTTGCTTACCCGCTCCTACGGATCCCGAAAGTTCATACTTGTGTATATAAGAATCTGCAACTGGTCCCCTGTTCCGAGACACATGAATTCAGCCTCATACAATTTTAATATTATGCTCCCATCTGCACTTCCGCCTCCCTTTCAGATTTTCCTATCAAAACTTTATAAGCATTTAATCAGAAACTTGGTGTGGGCNGCTGCTGCTGCTACTTGGTTGCACTTAATCCGCCGTTTGCAGGAGTCGCGCGCTACGGCCGCCAGAAACCCCTCTCGTGGCGAATTGGCGCAAGCGTTGCCAGACAGAAACTGAAATTACAATGGTAACCAACCACATCCATCCTTTTCACGTGTTTCAGGAAACTGCAATTTAATTTCACAGATGTTCCCTGTGTCATGTGCTGTAACCGTTGTGTGTACATACATAACTCGGCCCTCGCCGCTTGTCAGGCAGAGGGCGAGATGGAAATCTCTGGGATACTTCCGTCCGTCTGAACTGAGATGAACAAGATGTACCTGCGCCTGTCATTGCAGATCGCTTTGTGTCACCCTGTCACAGCACGCACACGCACTCTCCCTGCTGCTCCAAGTGACCACTTTCTTTTCCTCCACTCCTTTCCAGTTAATCATTGTGGAGGGCAGTCGGTATCAGGGGTGTACAGCCAGCGCTGAGCTGGAGAGGCTGTCGCGGCTTCATCGTACTGCCATACCGCCATTTTGGGAGGTCGCGGGTTCAAGTCCCGATGAGGTCATTGCATTTTTAAATTGACCTAATCCTTCCAGCCGCACTATGGCCCTGGGGTCGACTCAACCTCTAACGGAAATGAGTACCAGGAATATTCTTGGAGCTAAAGGGCGCCCGGCGCGTGAGGCTGACAACCTCACCGCCATCTGTGAGCCGATTGTCTAGAAAATGTGTGAGCTTCGACGTCTCACAACCCTATGGGCCTCCACTGCCTGTTAGAGGGATAGTTTTACTTTTTACTGAGGAAAGTCACGAAAACTCTCAGCTATGATTGCCTGTGTGCCGGCCGTGATTCGAACCGAGCACCTCCAAAATACAAATCTAGACGAATCCGTTCCGTCAGAGATTCTTCACGATCCACGTGACGTGGACTGGAACAGGTTACATAGCTGTTCGTGAAAATGCGTGCAATGGGATCCGTTGTCTCGTAACTGTAACGAAAGTGTTCTGTCGTGTGGGGCCGTATACAAGGGCCGGTTCAATCCAGCTCACATCCTGACAACCTGTTTCTCTAAGATTAGTTTCATTGTTGTCCTGTCCACTTCCTAGTGTCACAAATAATTTTTGCGTGAACATTTTTACATAAATGGCTGTGTCTCTCCCGTCCGTCCCACGCCCGATGTAACCGCTTGGGAAACATGGAGTGAACGTGACAGACCGCGAGGCTCCTTTGTTTGGTCGGAACTCGTGTGTCTTGCCCTCCGCTATTGCCTGGACCCAGTGGCTTCTGTTTCCTTTTGCGCTACTTAGGAGCACGCGGTAGCGCAGTTGGTTGAGGCACTGTACTCCAAGTCGAAAGGTAGCCGGTTCGATTACCAATGTGGTCATTGCATTTTTGAATTGACCTAATCCTTCCAGCCGCATTGTGGCCCTGGGTTCGACTCAACCTCTAACAGAAAGGAGTCAGTAAACTTTTTGGGAGCAAAAGGCAGCCGGCGCGTAAGGCTGACAAGCTCACCGCCATCTGTGAGCCGATTGCCTCGGAAACGTGGAAACCTCGACGTCTCACAACGATATGGGCCTCCACGGACTGTTGCAGGGATAGGTTTACCGCCACTAAATTTGGTGAGAACCTGTCTGCTGGTTGGCAGAGACACAGATGGCGCAACAGTTTCCTAAACCTACTTAAACTTTACGTGTAAAGTTGGCTACAAGAACTGCTCAGTACATCTTGTCTGAGGTAGGATTAGTATTATCGTGTCATGAAAATCCTTATTGCCATAACGAATGCATTGAGATAAACCGATTTGTTTTCCGGAGGCCGACTAACATGTAATGTAATATTAAAGATGAGTGGATTGTACTTCATCCTGTTTCCGTGTAGCGTTGCTTTATGAAAGATATAAATTGTCTAATTAATCCCTTGCCTGAGGTTTGTAATGAGATCATCCTAGCGTTACCAAGAGACCGTATTAATCGATCAGAACCCCGAAGCCTCGCGTCCGTTGTCTCTACGGGAGAACGCGATAGCAGCGCTCCGGGTGACGTAGCAGCCAACTCGAGAACAAAACACCATTGTGTTATTGGCTTACCTCCGAGAGGAATTCGGTCGGCTCCATTGTTCAAAATCGCAACTGTTGTTCCAGGAAATGTGGAAATGATATTAAACATGCTTCGTCGATAGCGTGTGGCTCTCCTGCTCGTCCTAATTCGGACTCCCCGCGAGTGAAACTCAGTTTCTGAACTTGGTATTAAATTGTGTTATTTTATTCTCGATTTGTTCGAGAACGCTTTCGATATATCGTGTAGTGTAACTAACTAAATCAACTTCATGGAGCTGAGCCCTTCTTTAAGAAGCCTCCAGTTGTACATCTACTCAAGAAATTACCGTTATTTTATGGAACCCGATGGTTCAGTACCGTGTTCACAAGAGCCATCCACTGGTCCCTATTCTGAGCCAGATCAATCCCTTTCATACCACCCTATCCTATCTCTCTAATATACATTTTAATATTATCCAACTACCTACGTCTTGATCTAAGCTGTCCATGTAACAGGCCGTGGAGTACCATAGGATTGTGAGACATCGAAGCTCCCACATTTTCCAGACAGTCGGCTCACATATGGCGGTGAGGTAGTCAGCCTTACACGCCGACCGCACTTTATCCTCCAGGAAGATTTCTGGTACTCATTTCTGTTAGGTGAAGAGTCAATCACAGGGACATAGTGCGGCTGGAAGGATTAGGTAAATTGAAAAATCCAGTGAAATCATCGGGACTTGAAACCGCGACCTTCCGGCTTGTAATATAGTGCCTCAACCAAGTGCGCTACCGCCTGCCTCCCCGTCTTGGTCTAGCGTCCAATAACGGAACGCACATTGGGAAATGAATTGGAAAGTCTGTAGTTACTTTTATGCCGGCATTTTCCTTGAGTGACTGAGGAAAACCAAGGCATTCCTCAGTCGCCATAGCTTATATACGGGCCTAGAAATCACCGTTTCCAACAGTACCTTTATTATTGCATGCGTACCCGTTCCCGCGGGAAGAAATTTACCGAACCGTTGCCTAGAAACGGCTCTGCACGCTACAATATGCATGGAGCTTTGGTGGGAATGGTTACTGACAAGGGAAACCCTAAGTTCTTGCTTGCCACATTATCTCTTTGTTCTCAATGAATCTCACATGGATGGCCCTGGGATAAAACCGGGGCCTGCGGGGTAAAAATCTGGCGGCTAATCTCCTGAGGCATTGCATGACCTCTCTTTGGGAAGAAGAAAACACAGCATATGCATCCAGCGTGTTCATTCCTTCATTCAGACATGCGCAAGTGTATGGGTGCGTTTGTTGCAGTTGCTCTTCATTGGAGACTCCACGAACCGAGGCATGATGCACTACATCCTGGAGCAGCTGAACGGTTCGCTGTCTGCGTGCGACAAGACGCACCACATCCGCGTGTACTCCAGCCTCAACCAGGGCCACACCACTCTCAGCTTCGCATACTACCCACAGTTCTGGCTGGCAGCACCCGAGCGGCCCGTTTTCGACAAAACTCTGTACCAGCTGCTACTCAAGCAAGTATAGCATCACGACACAGTCACGCGCTGATAGGAGGGGACCCAACTGCCAGTAGTTGAAACAAACATGACCAGAATGTACGGAGATTAAAGTACGATCGTTAATCCCCTTTGTTCATTTTCCGCGGGTCTGGTCTTGGTGTCCTCTGCATATCAGCCATGGAAGCTAGCTTAAACCTAAATTTTGCCGGTGTAATCTTCGATTATGCCGTCGTGTCTTGTATTTCCGAAAGTGGGCATTGGAATTTCCTCCACTGGAGGCATAATCTGATGGCCGTTTGTGAGGAGAGGCTGAAGGTGAATTTGGTAATAAATCCTGCTGGCATCAGGTCGGTTCGGTTTTAAGGACGAATTTCACTCCTCGAACTGACGCTGGTGGCGGCAAGTCTGCACGGCCTCAAGATACAGATACAACCTGTCTCTTACTGCCGTGCTGGCTCTTAAGAGACCGCTACCTCCTGGTATGGGCACCTCTACAACTCTTTGGTGCGGCTTCAGGGCGACAACCAATTTCTCGTTCACATTGAGCCCATACAGCTCGAAAATATACACCGTACAGTTTGTTCCCACGTTGGCTTTAAAAGACATCTTAGTGGCCGGCTTCCCACCGCGGCGGCCCGGATTCGTACCCGAGTCAGGTCATATGGGATTTGTGGTGGACAAAGTGTAGCTGGGGTAGGTTTTCTCAGAGTACGTCGGTTTCTTCTGTTACCCACTGCTCCACACTCGCCATCCATCAGCCGGGGCTGGTACAGTAGGCCAGTTAGTGGCCGCAGTGCCCAGTGGGCTCAGTCCCACCCCACTCCTCCAGACGTCATTATCCTGTGGTTCAAGGCAACAAATGTTTGTCAGCACCGGCAGTGGTTCAGACGTTCGCCCTACCTCAGTAGCCGGGGCACTACCGGAGCTGGAGGGATGTTGCCACACTTGTCATGGGCGGCCATGTCAGGAGTTGCTTACCTTTTCTCCGCTTTGGGCCCAAGTAGACGCAAGGGAACGCAGGCAATAACGAGCCAAGTTCAGAAGCGTGTAATGCCGTGTAGCCTGGTGCAAGTTTAAAGACATCATCCTCCATCATCAGGGTCGAGGAGTAAGCTGTTGAAGAAAGTAACAAGGAAACAATTCTGGCTTCTGCTTACATGCAATGCTTAAACCTCGATTCTGTAGATGGAGAGAATACATCCCTCCGAAACGGCGAAATACTTGTGCCAGACTACACGACATCACTCGCGTATGAACTTCTCTTCTGTTACCTCACGTTTACTGAGTCCTGTAGATGGCTGTCTCCCTTGGATTCAATCGCCCGGGACTTTAATCTGATGTCAAGTTTAAAAATACGCTAAGCCATACCTCCATTTCCCCATATACACCTTTTTTTTTTCACAGCTCGGTCGGTATAGCGACTGGCTACAGGCTGAACGGCTGAGGGGTGGCAGTTAGAGTCCCTTTAGGGGCAAGATTTCCTTTTCTCCGCGTCGTCCTCACCTCTCTGGGACGCCCCACACCAATAGGCCCGTAAGTGTCCTGCAGTACCTAGCATCTGATCATGAGTCCCAGATGAGACTCGGGACTTTCTGACCGTCAGTCGCAATGTGACCTTGACTCTGAGCCGATTTCTCAGCTGGCCACCTGCTTTCACGCTGGTATCTTGCTCGGCTAATTCAACCCTGAAGTTGGAGGCAACATGTTCCTCCGAAATGTCGGTTGTCTTTCAACGGACTACACGGCGTTATATCGCTCTTCATAAGCACCGGTGTGGTCCTACACAATTGTTGCTGTGTGGCCGGATTATGTTGAAACGCAATGAACACGCATTAACGGAGGTGAAACGCGCTCTGGCGTGGCTAGCAGCCACTGGTCGCTCCAGGCCGCATGGATGTCCTGGGGCCAGGCAACGTGTCCGACTGTGATACCGGCGAAATTTGGGGCGGAAGGTGTACAGCCAATGTTCCTTGCTCAGGGTGAGCCGAACAATCTGCCTCGATTTTCCATTTTCCGTTTTACTTTCAGCAGGTACACCCTCCAGCCGTATCAACCTGGGTCTTCCTACCTTCCTTGATTTAGTTCTTACAGTGTGAGGTTGTTAGCCTCACGCCCAACCCCAACCGGGAGGAGCAGGGTGTCCCTTGACCTGTCCGACCCTACCAGTAGCTACGCTACCGCCGGTATAGCTCCCAGGAGCAATGAGCCCCCACCTTCGGAGGGGTACAGCAAATTCTACTATACCCCATGCTCCTACACCAGCTCGGCTAATTGCAACTTAGCAAAGGGAGTTAATGCAGTTTGTTTTCTGGTTGGTTGGTTTGTCTGTGGGTCTTTGGGTGGGCAGGGGATTCAGTCTCTCGGTCGGTGGATCGGTCGGTACAGCAGTCACCTTCAGTTAAGCTAACTTTATATACGGAATGCTAAGCAGTTCAATATTTGCTTCTGTTGGGGGCGCTCTGTGCGAGATATCTGTGCAGTGCAGTACTATCTTCGTGTAAATATTCTTGATGTTGGCTTCGAATTCAAAGTCTCAATAATGAACCACTAAGCGAAATTGCCAAAAAATTATCAAAATAATTACACATTATGAATCATTCACTGACTCTATTTTTACATCTAAAGAAATGTATAATAGTTCAAGGATTAATCGATAATTACAAACACAGAATAAACTCAGTAGAGCTGATATATATATAGACATAGCATATGTGCGTGCGTGCGCATCGTATGTCGTAACATATTTTTCTTTGCGACGTAATACGGAATCTTAACTCAGAAAGTATATACTGGCAAGAAACTGATATTGAATAACTAATCGATTAAAAGTGACAGTGCTGCAAGATACATTTCCCACGAGATAAATGGAGCGAGGGGCTCTTGTTTCTTCTTTTCTATGAAGCTGTCATTGTCTTGACTCTTTGGCGTCGAGTTGCACTTTGACTGATGAATGACTGAACTGGACAGCGTTTCGAAAGTAGCGGCAGTACCCTCAAGGGATTCACGAAAGCTTCAGTCAGAAAAACGGGGCCCTGGCTGAGGTTCGAAGGCAGCACCTCAGCTGGCCTGCTCGGTGAAACTCAGCATTAACTCCCTTCTGCTCTTTCTTACAGCAACGAGAATAGTAGTGCCGGTCAGTACTCTCTGCCTGTCCGTACATGCTTATGTCGCTTTGTGTTGCACCTTCTGCATCAGTTCTGTGCTACAGTGTGGGGAGTGGAGGCATGGATCCACGTTATCTTAAACTCGGCACTACTTGGATGTGAATGGTCAGCTTCACATCACTGCCCCTGTACCCCCTCTACCCACTTGACAGGAGGCTCTGTGGGCCCCAGAGCCGGGTCTGGATGTCATGGAGAAGAGAAAAATTTCGCCTCTACTGGGACTCGAACTTCGACCTCTCTTCTGTTCAGCCCGTAGCCAGCCACTATACCGACTG